GAATTTTTGAATCCAAGTTTTTCAAGGATGCAGTATTTCTCCATCTTTCATTTGTAGCCCCCGCAGTGATTTCGCCCAGAAGGCGAAATCCCAACGAGGCACTCTAGTAACTCGCTCGTTATTAAGGAAAGTACTTACAGTTGAAATATACAGTCATACCATCAATGTAGAAAAAATCTCGATTTGCTTGAACAGGGGCCGCGAGGAATCGGTAGGTAATGATGACGTTTCTATTGTTTGCGCCCGCAAGAACGAAATGATTAGGAAGACGTAAAGACATGAAATCCAGAAGGGACTGCTCAGGTAGATTTTGTGACATTTATTGTGCAGTCATACTTCGATACTCTTTTCCGTTACGCAGTGACATTCTGTGGAGCAATAGTTTTGAAAATGGACCAAAAGACACTCGTTAAGCGCAGATGAGGTTATAAGGTGCGTTTAAATGTGTATATATAAATACTTGGAGAGTTTGCCAGACACGAGTTCACAAATCTTTGATTTATATTGGAAAGCTTGCCAAACACTCTTTCTCTCTCTTTGACCGGACCGGAATAAGACTCAGCCCCAAACAAGCAAGACGAGTGAACAACGGCTAGCTTATCACTGGGAGAACGATGGACGATTACAGAAACTCGCCGACAATCAAATTCTGTGCTGACTTATTCCCTGCTCACAGACGTCCTTCCGTTATAAAGTTTCAAATAAGACTAGAATGCGCGAGCGTGAATCGATCAAACGTCCTTTTAATTTCTAAGGCTTACTTTCCGGCAAATAACATGAACTGAATGTAAAAATTTGAAAGAGAAATAGCGAAATATTCAACTTCTAATTAAATCTTTTCTTATGGTTTAGAATAAACTATTCTCGAAACTGAGAATGTTTTGATCAAAGCTGTGTAAATCGAGCTGAAACTGTGCATGGAACCTTGCGTTTCCTGTATTTATCTCACCTATTGTATGGAATATGTGTGAAAATCTTCATTGTGAATCGGTATATTTCAAAGAGCTACACAACGAGCAAGAATACTATTGACCGACAATATACAGAACGGGGGCAGCTGTAGTCTCAACTATTACTAGTTGTAGAGTCAATGAATCTAGCGAAAAATAGGGCCATATAGATTTTTTTCTATCCAAGTCTTTCAAGTATGCAGGATTTCTGCATCTTTCATGTGTTTTGGAGTTACTCCACTGGATTTCTTCTGCAGCTGTTGGGCCTTACGATAAAAGTACCTTTTTTTGAACTGCAATATTTTATGCCATTTTAAGACTCCATCCATTACCCTTAGTTTTTAACTACAGATTTTTACTAAGAAAGTGAGTTCAGAATAAATATGGTTTATTTCAACAACTCCGATTTCGTTGTAGTAACAGGGTCTTGTTATACCTGCACAACAGAGTTTAAGTTTCTGACGGACATCGCATTTTTTGCTACGTGAAATGGGGCGTTTTTGATGGAATTTTGAAGTTGGGTAAAATACATTTTAGTTTGGAACGCGTAAAAAAATATTCGTTTCCTTTGGTTAATTTTTTTTTTGCCGTTCAAAAGAGGCCTATAGAATGACGGGTTCCAACTTCCAGCGTCTTCCGTTTTCATCGGCGTGCAAGGCTCTCTGAGGTAATGACGTAACATGGTGGCCGGACGCAATTCTGCTATTTTGTTGAAAACAACAAGCTTCGCGTCGTGACCTGCAGAAGCGATCGTGATGACTATTCAGCCATATCAGCTTGAGCCTGAGTATACTCTTCCGGTGAAGAAGCTGAAGAAGAAATCGTGGAAGAAGAAGTTTCGCAATGTCAATCTTCGAGCATTGAAAGTCGCCGATTGGATTCTTCTTGGTGTGTTTGTTAAAGATATACAGTCATGCCAGGTGAAGTTGAATGTGGTTCTCCATTTGGGAGATTTCTGATAAGGGGTCTGTACCCCACACTATCTGTTTTATTTTAACATAAAATATTCCAATTGAATACCTAACTGAGATAACAAATACACAAAAAAAAGACAATAGCATTAAACAAAGAAAGCAGGACTGATTTTAACAAATGAGTCCGTTAACACATTAAAGCCGGCAAGTTCATGGCTTGATAGTGTTGCATTGTGATGATAGTGTCTGTACTTTACACTATTCACATTAACTCGAATGCAAATCCCAACAACAACAACATCAAATTCAAATAAATAAAGAGAACTTTAACGAGTACAACTTACAATCTAGCTAACTTTGCCAGACCTGAGAACGCTCCTGTTTCCAGTTTCTGTATTTTGTTATTTTCAAAATACCTGCATTAAGAGAGAAAAAACAATTGGTTGGACAAAAACGCTAAAAACGCCTATTGCGATAACACCACTGTTAAAGAAAATATTGCCCAAATGCTCTTTAAGATCCCAAAAGGTTATTTTTCGCACAGAAAAATGTTCTTTTTCTTTGGTTACTTTTGTCGCCGTTCAAAAGAGGCCTATAGAATGACGGGTTCGAACTTCCCGCGTCTGCAATTTTCAT